TATGAAGCAGGGACAGCCACGTAGAAATGTGATTGGAAAAGGAAAGTATGATCTAACAGATTGAGTGGGGAAACCCATCAAGGCCTGTCTGTTCAAGTTCTTCTTGGCCTCTTTGTGCAGCACTCCCTCCTCCAGGGTATGCGGCAGGGTACTTTTCTGGAAAGGGGGTTTTGTGACCTACAATCAGATAATTGGAGAATTTCTTTAGGGTCAGCTATAAGACAAAAAGATGGAGGGGGTAGTGTGCAGCAGAGATTAGAGTACAATTTTAGTCTTTATAGCTGGCTTTGGGGACAGGGGTTCTGGTTTCTATGACCTGCCTTAGAGAAGAGGGATTCTAGATTTATAGCTTGTCTCAAGGAGAATGAGGTCAGAGGAAAACTTTTTTTGTTTGGGTGGCTAGCCAGTACAGGGATTGAAGCTTGGACCTGGATACTATCAGCACCATGCTCTAATCGACTGCATAACTGGCCATCCCTGAAAACTTTGTTTTGAGGCTGCTTCTGAGGCCTTCACTTTGGGGTATCACTTTTCTGAGCCCTAACTAGATATATGAAGGAACTTCAAAAAGTAGAAAAATGGAATTGAAAGATAATGTGAACCTTTCATGAACTTTTTGAAGACCCCTTGTGTGAGTGCATATATTTTTAATTGCTACATAATAATTTTACATATTTATGGGGTAGAATGTGATCTTTCAATATACATGTATATATAGTGTAATGATCAAATCAGGGTGATTAGCAAATCCCTCACTTTGAATATTTATCATTTCTTTGTGGTGAGATCATTCAGAATCCTCTCTTCTAGCTATTTTGAAATGTACATTATTGTTAACTATGGTCACCCTCCTGTGCAATAGAACATCAGAACTTATGCCTCCTCTCTAACTGTAACTTTGTACACATTACCAGCCTCTCTCCCATCTCTCTCTGACCTGTTCCCTCCCCAGCCTCTGGTAACCACTTTTCTGCTCTCTACTTCTATGAGATCAACTTTTTTATTTATTTATTTTTTAAAAGATGACCGGTAAGGGGATCTTAACCCTTGACTTGGTGTTGTCAGCACCACGCTCAGCCAGTGAGCAAACCGGCCATCCCTATATGGGATCCGAACCCGGGGCCTTGGTGTTATCAGCACCGCACTCTCCCGAGTGAGCCACTGGGCCGGCCCCAGAGATCAACTTTTTTAGATTCCACATATGAGTGAGATTATAAGGGCACTAGTCATATTGGATTAGGGCCCACCCATGGGACAACATTTTCCTTTAATTCTTTTTTTTTTTTCTTGTCACTATTTATTTTTTTATTTTGTCAATATACAATGTAGTTAGTTATTGTGTCCCATCACCGAATCCTTTAATTCTTTTCAAAGGCCCTGTCTCTAAATATAGTCACATTCCGACGTACTGGGGGTTAAGGCCTCTACATATGAATTTTGTGGGGGACACAATTCAGCCCATAACAGCTGAGGTCATTAGGGTGGCTCTTATCTAATCGAATAGGGGTCCTTATAAAAACTTGGACACAAAGGCAGACATCCACAGAGGGAAGATGATGTGAAGACACAGAGAGAATACCATCTACAAGATAAGGAATGCCTGAGGCTACTAGAAGCTTGGAGAGAGGCATGGAACGCCCTCAGCCCTCAGCAGGAACCCGTCCTGCCAACATATCTTGATCTCTGACTTCTAGCCTCCAGAGCTGTGAGGTAATTAATTTCTCAATTTGTGAAGCCCAGCACATGTTTCACCTTCAGAGTGCCCTGATGTCCTTGGAACGGGCAGGTGGCATTTGTTCTTACACAAGTTACTCAGCCAATCAGCCCCAAGTAGAACCAACAGGTGCTGGGTCCTTTGACCTTTCAGGACACAGCCTTGGCATTTCATGGTCACTTAATCAGGAGTTGGTGAGCAGCTGCACAGGGATACATTCTGGAAGAAACTGGTGGTGAGAGTGGAGTGGGGGTCCAGGGTCCATCCTGGTAGGGGGCTACTCTCTGGTAACAGAGACAGACACAGGACACCATGAACTCCTGCAAGTAAATGATCTCTCCTTTGTGAGCCTGTGTAGTCTCCCAGGGAGACTTTTTTCTGTAAGGAAGGGTTGGTGATACAGTGGAGTTGCTTCATACATACATTCAATACGTAAGAACTTTAGCACTTAACCCTCCACCCCTCTCCTCACTTAATATTTAAAGGAATGCTGCCCACAAGCTTAATAAGGTGAGGATTAAGAATTAATGATTGGATTTAGCAATCTGATCACTGGTGACCCTGACAGCAGTAATTTCAGTGGAGTGGTAGGGGCCAAAACTGATTGGAATGGATTAAAGAGATTATAGGCAATTCTTCTGAGGACCAAAAATGGAGCAAAGCATTGGAATACAGCTGGAGGTAGATATGGGGTTAAGAGTGGATATTTTTAAGATGGAAGAAATCGTAGTACATTGTGGGCTGGCTGGAATGGTCCAGTAGAAGCAAAAGCTGATGATGCAGGATAGAAGGAGTATAATGCTAGAGAGAGGTCCTTGAATAAGAAAGAAGACAGGAACTTGTAGTGATGTGCTAGAGCCGGTTACTAAATACAGTTATTATTACATTGTATAAATTTACAATTAAATAAATTATATTTAGAGAGGTAATAAATATTCAGAACTCACTCTTTCCTAATTATGTTACTACATTCTCCCATTATCTCTGTTCTTGTGGTTCTTTAGGTCTATCATATGTGGATGATGGAAATATTATGTAACAGTGGTGTGGCTCCTGCATTTCTCTTCCCAGTTCCAACTTGTCACTAAACTTGATGTCATTAAATTTCCAACTTGTGTTTGGTGACATCACTTTGGTAGCTTTAAACATGGTTGTGTCTGATGTTATGAGTTAAATTGTGTCCTCCAAAACGACATTAAAGTCCTAACCTCCAGTTATAAATGTAATCTCACTTGGGAATTAAATATCAGCAGATGGTCATGTTAAGATAATGTTTTGTTTTGTTGGGCTGCCATAAGCAAGTACAGTACCACAGACTGGGTGGCCTACACAATAGAAATTTATTTCCTCACAATGCCTGGTGCTGGAAGTCTGAGGTGCAGGTGGCAGCAGGGTTGATTTCTCCTTGGCTAGTAGATGGCCGTCTTCTTCCTGTCTTCTCACCATCTTTCCTGTGGGTATGTCTGTGTCCTAATCTCCTTTTCCTTATATATACTAGGGATCTTTTTAAAAGAGAACTGTTTGTTAAACATTTGTCAGCCCACCACAGGATTTGGTGGACAAGTGGAGAGACCCACCCCAAGCAAGGAGCTGACAGTTCATTCAATGGAACAGGAGGGAACTCAGGGCACGTGGACAGGTGGGTAGATGGATGTGGTGGAGAGATGTCCCCTATTCCCTACATGAAAAAGGAAGCAAGTAAGCCCTGGACAGTAAGACTGTGAAAAGAAGTGTTGGAGGTTTGAGGTGAGAGGAGTATGGGGAAGGAAGTGGATTAGAAAAATTTAGTATTTTTGTAGTGTGTTTGGCACCATTAAAAGGCCCCTTGAAGGCCGGCCCGTGGCTCACTTGGGAGAGTGCGGTGCTGATAACACCAAGGCCACGGGTTTGGATCCTATATAGGGATGGCCGGTTAGCTCACTGGCTGAGCGTGGTGCTGACAACACCAAGCCAAGGGTTGAGATCCCCTTACCGGTCATCTTTTAAAAAAAAAAAAGGCCCCTTGAGGTTAATGCTTATGAATTAAAAAGAGGCCTAGCACAATGGATGTATACAAGGGTACTTCAAAAAATTTGTGGAAGGCCGGCCCGTGGCTCACTCGGGAGAGTGTGGTGCTGATAACACCAAGGCCACGGGTTCGGATCCTATATAGGGATGGCTGGTTTGCTCACTGGCTGAGTGTGGTGCTGACAACACCAAGCCAAGGGTTGAGATTCCCTTACCGGTCATCTTTAAAAAAAAAAAAAAAAAATTTGTGGAAAAATGAAATTAAAAGATAATACAATTCTTTCCATGAAGTTTTTGAAGTACCTGATATTTTCTTCTATCTCTTTCAGTTGCTTCGGAGAGTCAAGAAGAGAAGAACTAGATGTATTCGGGGCTAGGGTTTTGCCTGACCAGTATGACTATGTACAGCAGGGGCAAGCGAGATTACAAAGTTGTAAATGAAGAAGTCACCACCTCACAGACGTTCCATATTCAACCTAGCTAAAATCATGCCCCATCCCCTCTAACGTTAACCCATTATGCTGTTTATTTTCATATCCTGTTGACTTTGTGTCAAGTCATCTGGCTCACCCATCCTACATGATAGCAGGAACTATTTTATTCACTGTTGAATGCACAGTGCCCACCACAATCCTGGGCACATAGTAGGTGCTTGGAAATATGTTAAATGACTTATTGAATAAATGGAATAACTTGATCATTCTTGTAACATCTATACGTTGGAATAAAGAATACACACATTCTTTCAGTATCCTCATGTTTCTTGCTCCCTGGTGTTAACCTTTAGTGAGCAAAGGAACTTCCCTACAGAGTTGGACACATTGAGCCACGGTTCCTTATTTCCAGGACACTCCTAGGGGATACGGCAATTTATACTGTACCACAGGCCCAAACCCAAACTCTTTGTCTCATGGCACTCAGCCACACTGAGGAGGGTTTTAAACTCTACGGGCAGCCATTCTGCTGCCAACAGCAGCCTAGGGCTAATTCAGTGACTCCAGGCGGTGATGACACAAAAGCCCCAAAGTCCAAGGCTCCCGGGGTGCGCTGGGGTGGCTCCCAGTCAGAGAAACTTCTACCTGCAGACGTGGCGGGGAGAAGGGGCAGTGGCGACCCGGCGCCGCCAGCCGGAGATCGCCCGGGCCGCGCCACCCGCACAGGACGTCGCCTAAGAGGGAGTGGGCGTGGCCGACTGTCTGTTTCTCTGAGTGGACAATAAAGTTTCGAAAGTTTGAAAAAGGAGAGCAAGAAGTCCACGCCCCTGCGGCCGCCGGGCTCGGACGCCTGCGGGCCTGGGCGCGCGGGCATGGGGGTGACGGTGGACGTGCGTCAGGTGTACAAGTACCCCTTCGAGCAGGTGGTCGCCAGCTTCCTCCGAAAGGTACCGCCCGCCTCTGGCCGCCGGGGCGCGCGTCCGCCCGCGCCGCCTGCGCCGCCTGCTGCTGTCTCGTCTCCTCTGTCCACGCGGAGGTCGGGACCCCCGACCTCTCCTTCCCGCCGCGGGTTTTACTTCAGGGACGTGTGGGGCGGGGGTGGCGGTGGATTTCCTGGGAGACTGTCCCTGGAGGGTGAGGGACGAGAAGCTGTGCGTGGCATCACGTCCACACACCTGCGTGGCATCAGCTGGGGCTGAACAGAGGCTTTCAGGGAGAGAGCCTCAGGGGACCCAAATTCTCGAGCCCTGTTGGGTTGCCAATGCCCGACCCTTTAAAAGCGAGTGGGGGCTGTTGAAGACATTATCCTGATTTACTCAGCGTTATCATTCTCCTGCTTCACCACTTGCTCTTTTGTGAAACAGCTGTGGGACTTTGGGCAGGTTACTCACCCTCTCTGGGCCTTGTTTTTGTAACCTGTAAAACGGGGAAATGTTAGTAACAGCTCATAGGTTGTGAGGAGTCAAATGAGATAATTCACGTAAAACGATTATCGCAGCGACTGATGGATGATGAGTAAGGGCTCTAAAATGTTATTGTTGTTTGCACTACTACAACTGCGAACTCTAGCCTCCATATTCAGTGGCCCTCCATCTCAAAGGTGGCTCCTAGGACTATGGCTCATGGTAGTAGGAAAATGGGAAATGCCTTTGAAGAATCGAAAGCACTCAGGCCTGGGAGGTAGGATCCCTGGACTGTGGTCTGGTGCTATGGTTAATTCTCTGGGTGACGTTGGCCAAGGGTCTGCTCTCTGGGCCTTAGTTTCTGCATCTGTACAGTACGGGTGTTGTATCATATATTTTAAGATCCTTTTCAGCTTTCTCATTCTTAAGCAGAATTTGCAAAAATTACAATTTGCCTTGGGCAGCAGCCACTGGACAATGATCCCCATTTGAAGTATGGAAGCCAAACTAAGGGAAATGCTGGGGAGATGAAGGTCAGTTGTTAAATGATAAGGTCTGGCCACCTGTACAGGATATGACCCAGTTGGGGGCCCAGGTCACAGAGGAGTAAGTAGGGTGCTGGTGAACATGGTTTTGCTATGGAGGCCTTTCTTAGAGGGAATGTCAGTTTGTTGATACTGTTCACTGATCTTCAGTATCTGGAATAGTGCCTAGTACCTATAAGATGCAATAAAAATCTGATGAGTGAATAAATGAATGAAAGAATGAGTTATGGATCTTGTGTAGACTTTGCCTTAGATCAGGCTTGTGGGCCCCAAAAAGGAACAGACAACACTCCATTTTTTGTTAGGACTGGCACTTTGGAGTGTAGATTCTCTAATGCCACTGCCCCTTTGCAAAGTCTTTCTGGATTGTCATCAGCAAGAGGTGATCTCTGCCTTCTCAGAACTCAAAGGGCAATTTGTGTAGACCTCACTGACCATCTACAGTGTCAGATAGTTACTTCTGTATGTGTCTTGTTCCCTCATTAGATGCCAAGCTTTTATAGGGCAAGATCATTCCTGCACAAGCATGCAGCACAATTCCAAGCTCTCATTTATATAGTACTTGGCACATGTCAGCTTCTGGTAAATGCTTTTCTTTCATTCAACAGGTGTTTATTGATACTTGTCTTCTGTGTGCCAGGCTCTGTGCTAGGTGCTAGAAAAGCATTGAAGGACACAACAGACAGATTTTCTTCTTGTGGAGCTTATTATCTTTTGTGGGTGAGACTGACATTAATAAGCGACAAACAGATGAACATACAATTCTGATCGACAGTGTGTACTTACACAAGGAAAATACATGGTACTGTGACTGAATATAACAGGAAGGCCTACGACGTCTGAGAGGGTGTCAAAGGCTGCCCCGAAGAAGTGGCATTTGTGAAATGGTGGCTGAAGCATGAATAGGAATTTTCTAGGCAAGTGCATGTGTGCATATGTGTGTTTGTGTGTGTGCTTTCCATACATTATCATGTTTATTCTTTTTGCAGTCTCAGAAGTAGTAGTTATGATTAATTTCCATTTCACAGTTTGGAGAAACTGAAGTTTAGAGAAGTTTAAATGTTTTCAAGTTCCTACAGGTAGCAGGTGGAAGACCCTGGGTTACAACACATTTGAATCCAAATCCCACACCTCTAACCATCAGGCTGTAGTGCCTTGCACATAATAGGCACTCAGATGATTCAGATTATTATTGAGGGAATAAAATGTTTCAGAATCAACTTTGTTGTGTGCTTTATCCAATCTCAGTTTCATTTTGTTCTCAGTCTTCTCGCAGGGTTTGCTATCTGAATGGGTGCATTTTGCCTGATACAAAGGTATAGCTTTGATGTGTGTTAGAGTGAAAACACAGAGTGTTTCAATAATCTATTGCTATGTAATGCATCACCCCAAAACTAAATGGCTTCAACCAGTGACAAACTTTTAATTCTCACGATTCTGTGAGTTGACTGAGCTCATCTGGTTGGTTTTGTGCGCCATGTGGTATAACTGAGGTCACTTATGTAGCTGTAGTTGGTTAGGATCTGGTGTAATTCTTATAAAATACTTAGCAAAATGGCTGGCACATAGTGAATAAGAACTAAGGAGGACATTTTGGAATGCAGGGCTGGGGAAAGGAAAGTCAAATATTAGCAGACTAAAGGTATAGCATTGGGGCAATGTTAACACCATGGATGACACTATACTTCTTTTCTTTCTAGTCATTCATGAAGCAGTCCTTCAGAGATTCCCTGGGAGGAGCTATGTGACTGTAACATGTCAATAAATCCATTTGCTGTGAGAATTTTCACCCTATGTTATTTAAAGTCATGAACTAGAAGTCAGTACACCTGGATTCCAATCATTGTGCTTTCATTGTTAGGTTGGGTGGTCATGGAATTGAATCACTTCACCATCCTGTACTTTGTCCTTGTGCAAATCAGAAAAGGCATCATTTAGAGGGTCCATTCCACAAGCTCACAGTATATGACACTAGTGGAAAGTAAATGGGACTATTTATGAAAACTAGAAAAAGATGCTTCTTCCTCTAAGTGGATGTAGCCTTGTGCCCACTGGCCCACTTGGATGGGAGCCCTTGTGCAGTGAGCAACATGTACAACTGTATAAAACAGTCTTAATTTCTCATCTGTGAGATGGTAATGCAATCTACTTTGCCTATTTCCCAGGGTGGTTGTGAGAATATTAAATGTGTAACAGTTTGAAAAGCATAAGCTTTTTATAAGCATAAGCTTTTTATAAGCCTAAGGTAGCAAGAATTGTCTTTTTGGCAATATATGCTTTTATTTTTTAGTCTTTATGTATTTTTTTCTCAAAGGAAAGCATTTGGCAGAAGGGATAATCATATGAGGATCTCTGGGAAGCATTTAATCTGTTCTTGCAGAATGGTAGAATGGTGTGGTTGAAGCTGTTTTAGCACTGAAGTTCTATTTTAAATAGAATCTACTGATCTATGGCTTTTGGTATGTTAGGACTTGCCTTCCAAGTTATAATATACTACTATTTTTAAAACCTGAGGAATGTTTGCTCTTCTAACACCTGCCTGTTGTATACCACAGGCAAAATATTAGCCACATGCTTTCAAAGCTAAGTGGCACTTTGAGAACAAACAATACAATACTCTTTGTGGAATATAGTGTTTCTCAATGAACTCTTCATGGAGGAATGCTATGAAACACAAAATGGTTTATTCATCAGATGCTAAACTGTACTTTGTACAAACTACAGTGTCAACGCACTTGACGATGTATTTGCTTTCTTTTTTCTTTGTATGACTCTTAGCTTTGTAGCTCTCATCACTTACAGCTGTGTCCTTTCCTTTTCTTAAAATCATCTACAAAGAGAACACAAAGACTAATGTAACAGTGTAGAAGGCTTGTCTTCTCTGGAAGTTCACATAGGCCTTTTTAATAGGCTTGCCTTTCATGAGCTGGATTCTAAGAGAACTTCTTACATTTCATTTACCTGAAATTTAAAGTCATCACAAAGGAACCAGAGAGCCATTGTGCCGACCACATTTTCTTGTTTATATCTAAATGAGGCTAGAGAGGTTAAGGTTTTTCTTACCATTGAGTTGTTCAAGTTGATATTCTTTTTATGCTGTAGGCAAGAGTCGCTGTGAATAGAGTGTAAGCTTCATGGGCAGGGATTTTTGTCACTTGTTTCTGATGTGTCCCAAGTACACAAAGAGATCCTGGTACATAATCAGTACTCAGCAAATCCTTGTTCAGTGAATGAATGAAACACATTCTTCTGGGGGTTAGCCCTGTATTATTTCAGACCGAAGTCAGTGTAGGGTTCAGAAACATATCCTTATTTTGGGTACTGTAATAAAGTGGACTGATTAAAATAATTTCTTTGCTTCAGTACAGTGACCTCAGGTGTTATTTATTCTAGCCAGGAGCCTGATGTGCTGAATAAAATGGTTTGAGTGTTTACCCTTAAGCTCATAAAGGGGATTTATGAATGGCTATTTCCATTTAGAGTAGAAAGTTGATTCCATTTAGAGTAGAAAGTTGATTGGGTAATTAATAATGTTTCCATTTCTGATCCAATCTTTCTCCCTTGCAAATCTGACACTTAAATGTGTGGAACATTTCTCCTTGCAGAGCAGCAGAAATATTTGGGGGTAAACCTGCATTTCCAAAATAGATGATTTGATAAACCACAGGCCTAGTTTAACATAATCCATTTAGAGTAGAAAGTTGATTGGGTAATTAATAATGTTTCCATTTCTGATCCAATCTTTCTCCCTTGCAAATCTGACATTTAAATGTGTGGAACATTTCTCCTTGCAGAGCAGCAGAAATATTTGGGGTAAACCTGCATTTCCAAAATAGATGATTTGATAAACCACAGGCCTAGTTTAACATAATNTCGCTGTGAATAGAGTGTAAGCTTCATGGGCAGGGATTTTTGTCACTTGTTTCTGATGTGTCCCAAGTACACAAAGAGATCCTGGTACATAATCAGTACTCAGCAAATCCTTGTTCAGTGAATGAA